GCCTGCATGCAGGGGCGCCGGGGCTGGACTCACACAGATACCAGGCGCTGGGAAGGGGGGGTGGGGGGAGAATAAAGGCTTAGAGATTAAAGTCATAGGCAGAGACAGGCGGCTCCGCTTTTTAATAACTGAAAACACGAGTCGGGCCTGAATGTGCTCATTGTTCGACAGAGGGGCGTCTACGCAGGCAGGACTGGCTGGCGGCAGCAAGGCCTTCCCACCAGATGAAGGTTCCCCAGGAGGGGAGGGGCCCGGGCCGCTCAGGGACGGTGGCGTGGCCACGGAGGCCTGCGGGCCATGGGGAGGGGCGGGGGCACATGGACTCAGGGGCCGATGACCCAGGGCTGGCCACAAGTCCTGCTTAGGGTTGGGGAGTGCGGGCCAGTTCTGCCTTCTGAGGGAACCCGGTGGTGAGCATCAGAGGCGTGCACACACACGTGCCCGTGGCCCTGCGGCGCCACGTCTGTGCGTGAGCCCCGGGGAGTGACCCAGGCCAGGATGGCCTGGGGCTCAGACTCGTCCTGGGCACCACTGTTCAGAGCAGCAGAGCGGAACCGGGGCCCAGGGCCGGGGGGGCGGCTGAGCGTGTGTGCACCTCTGCCTTGGTGCGAAGGGGAGGCACGACGGCTCCCACAGACACGCAGGACGCAGGCGCGGGTGTGAGAGAGGAGGCACACAGCACAGAGACGGCCGCGTGTCAGCGGTGAGGCCGCAGCTGGGCGGCCGGTTCCTGGTGCGCCGTGGGGCCCGCTGGGACTGACCGTGCCCCCAGGTCACGGGCGGGGAGCCCAGGCTCCAGAGCGAGCAGGACCAGGGAGTCACTGCCGGCTCTGAGCCAAGGTGCGTCCCTGTCCCTACGAGTTCACACAATGGGACGCCTGCGGGCGTGAAACCATGATGCTTACACAACGTGATTAATGGTGTGGGGAAAACTGCCTAGAATACAATGGCAAAGTTTTAAAAGCAGCAGAAAAAACATAAAATTTATAATTTCAACCATGTCAACTGGATGATGACTTTCTTCCTTATAATTTTGCCTATTATCCAAATTTTCTAAAATAGGTCTGTATTAGTTTTACAGTCAGAAAACAATGGCTTTGTATTTGAGACTCTATAAAGGGCCTGTGTTCCCGGGTCAGAGCGCGCATCCCACCCATGAGCCCAGCAACTCCCTCCCGCTTTCCATGAAAACGTGAGACGCAGCAGGGCCAGGACACCCGGCACAGGGACCTCTGTGCATGTCCAGCGTGCAGGTCATCATGAGGGATCATTTCATTTCGCTCCGAACTTTCTCTTCACGAGCCATCTGGGCTCACGGAGCTCAAAAGACAATCACTGTAAATGGGCTGCCTCCTCATCTTTCTCCCTGGGCACCCACCCTCACACTAGCTGGCCGAGAGGCGCAGGCGCGCTCCTGAGGCCGCCCTGCCGGCTCCAGCGCAGAGCCGCGTGCGGGGAGGGCTGCCCACTCTCCACTCCCACGCAGGCAGTGCGTGACCCGGGTCCAGCCAGGCCAGAGCCTCCGCAGGCCTGGTGTCCCTGGCCCTGCCGGGACAGTCCTGCGCCGTTCGCTGGGGAGACAGGCCGGAGCTCCCCCTCACCTGAGCCCAGTTTGGCTGTCTGGCCACCGTGGGGACGTGCTGGCCCTCACCTCACAGCAAGTCCTTGCGGCAGACCCCCGGCTCTGCCGTCTGCCCAGCCCCCAGCCCAGCCTCCAGGGCCAGAGCGAAGTTTCGGTCATCTTTGAGTACTGATGGCTTCCTGCACCAGCAGCTCCGCCGGAGAGGTGCCTTCTGCCGCTGCGGGGGGAGCGCCCCCTGCCCCCCCAGACGGCAGAGCTGGCAGCGACAGTGGCTCCAGGACGCTCCTTCTGCTGTCACCAAACACGGCGCTCAGAAAGACCCGGGCTCGGCTCTCTTTCCTGAGGCAGCAGAGCAGCAAGCCCCCGAGCGCGCGGCAGCTACTTCTGTGAAATCTGCCGCCTCCGTCGCACGGAGCTCCCAGCCCCGCACGGCGACGGCGACTCAGCTGTGCTTTGGTTATTTCAGAGAAGGAAAAATAACATTTTAAATGCTTTAGTAGTTAACAGATACGAGGAAGGCAGGTTTTCCTCATGTTTCCTCAACAGAAGCCACAGAACAGCCTGGCCCCGAAACCTTAAAATGCATTTGGATTAAAGGAAGAGCCCCACACCGCCAACAGACGCAGAGCAGAGTCTGTGCGAGGCACCGAGCGGCCCCGCGCGGGGCTGAGTCCAGGCACCTGAGTGGGGAGGATGGGCAGACCCATGGGGCTCATTACAGACATGCAGGGAAATAACATGGGGAAAGGAAAAACCGGGAGAAGCCCCTCCTTCATCATGGAAACCAAGAGACCGACGGCCGCCCCGGAATTCGGCCGCTGGACCGACATCTGACGTCTCTCTCCACGTCTGCCTGCGTCTTGGGAGCCAGGCACTCCTGAGCTAGGCGGGAGTGGCATTCCCGGCCCCACGGCTTCACGTAATGTTATATTTAACGGGAGTTTTCCTGTTTTAAATCCCTCTGTAAACACCGCTTCCAGGAAGGGTGGCACAGAGCACCTCGGTCGACCACTGGGCGGCTACTGTGAGAGGCGAGACCGTCTCTGAGCATACAGCTCTGGCTCATGTGGATGTTTCCTAGAAGGTGAATTACGAAATCACAAGTAGAATTTATTTAAGGCTCTAGAGAGATTTTCCACAATCAGTCCCCAGAAAGGCTGGGCCGAGCCAGCTTTCTAGTAACTGCTGCCGGATGGGCCGTGGCCCTGACGGTGTCAGGCTCGGCCCTGAGTGGCCGTGTCCTCCCTGCAGACAGGAGAGGAGGCCGCCGGCAGGCACAGCGGCCACTGCGGGGAGCACTGGGGAGGCACGGGGTGGGGGTCCGCGGGGCTGGGAGCAGCTGCCACCCCAGCCTGCCCCGCCAGGCCCGAGGAGAAGCCTTCCTCCTGGAGAGAAAGGGCCGTGCAGCAGACACGCTCCGTTCAGACCCCAGGCAGCCCTTTAGCGTGAGCTCGGCAGGGGAGTGGCAGGCGGTGGGCAGGGGGTTGGTGCCGCGTGGGAACAGTTTCAGTCTGAAGTGATGAGTTCTGGAAACAGGGTGGTGATGGTAGCACATGGGGACACAGTGAATGCGACTGAACTTGCGCTTAAGATGGTCACGATGGTGAAGTCCACACTGTGTGCATTTTACCACAATTTCAAAAAAGGCCAGTTTCTGTGGCCTCCACACATGGAAGACAAGGACACACGCAGAGAATGCAGTCAGTAACGACTCCCGGCCCGCGCCCTAGGTGGTGGGGAGCCGAGAGGACTGGGCAGAGTTAGCACCGCCCCCAGCACTGGGGCGGGGGACCTCCCCTGGGAGCTCCCGCAGGCCCTTGCGGGGAGGCCATCCCACGGGACCACCCCTCCTCTACACCCAGGAGAGGGGCGACAACAGGTGGGCGAGGCTGGAGGGGCGGCTCCCGGGCGGCCCAGCAGGGAGGGGCTGCGGGCAACCCACCCCGCTCTGAGGGCGAAATGTACAAGGATGCTTGGAAATCGTCAATTAGATGTGATTCTGTGGAATAATAATGCCGAAGGTCGGGGTGGAACGCATTAGCTATGCATTCCAAATACCTGATCTCCGGCCTGGTCTGCAAGGCAGATACTCTCCCATCCAGTACAAAGGGTCAGCAACAGCACCGTGCCAAGCTTCCGCCCGGGGCCATGCGGCAGCTCGCCAGGAACCCAAGGGCCGCACCTGACTGGCAAACAGTACAGCAGGTCGGGGCCCCTTTCATCTGCCCCACGACTCGGGGCCCCGCGGCGGCCGCGGCCTCGCCCCACCACACCCCAGGCCGCCCTGCTCAGGCACCCCCAGTCCTGCTGCCTGTCCCCACGCGGAAGCCGGTCACCAGCGCCCAGCGTCCGCCTCCGACCCCAGGCGCCCCCTCCCCATCTCAGCCCCCGGACCCAGGACCAGACAGCACATCACACACTCGAACGGGTGCAGCCAGAGAGCCAGGCGACTGCAAGTGCTGGCGAGGCTGTGGGGGCTCCAGACCCCCCACGCCACCGGGAAAGCGGGGCAGCCGCTGCGGGGAACACGGAGGTCCTCAGAGAGCAGGGGCAGAGTCAGCCTCAGAGAGCAGGGGCAGAGTCTGACGGCTGGGGGCACCCTTAGAAAGCAGGGGCAGAGTCTGACACAGCTGTGCCTGTCCTAGGTATAAACCCAAGAGAGCGAAAACATACGTCTACACAAACACCTGAACACAAATGCCCATGATGACTCATAACCGTGGAAAACTGAAAACCACGCAGATGTCCCTCAGATGACGCACACACAGAACGTCTCCTATTCAAACTATGGGATGTTCTCTGGCCACAGAAAGGGATGAAGCAAGACTCCCGCTGCAGGGGGACAAGCCCCCAGAGCACTCTGCTCAGCGGGACAAGCGGACACAGAGGGCCACGCAGACACGGGACTCCGTTCACGCAGACCGGCCGGCGGGGCGCCTCCAGAGACACAGCGCACTGGGTGAGCAGCCGCCGGAGGCAGAGGGCGGGGACGGGCCTGACTGCGCCGGGCCGGGGCTCCTTCTGGGGGATGCACTATGCTGACGGAGGTGGTGCTGACGCGCACATGGTTCTGTGAAGACCAAATGCCCCTGAATCGACACTCTACATGGCTGAACTGTGCGGTACATGAATTAAATCTCAATAAAGCTGTTATAAAAACAGTTTTCAAAAATATACAGTTACCATACAAAGGAATGCTCTACTACAAATTAAAGATGTCCACCTTGTATCATTAAGTAAAAAGAAGTTACTTATGAACTACTTCAATTAGCAGATTATGAAAACATTTTTAAAAATTACCCATAGAAAGGTAATTCTACACAAATAAAAAGACACCATTCATCATGTAGTGACACAGCAGGGATGGGGCATTACTTATATTCATACTAAATGAGAAAAAATAAATAGTTTATAAGTAAAGGTTCATAAATAACTTTTATAAAAACTTATTCATAGCTTCAGTCACTTCAGATAAGCTCACATCCAAACTCCCAAAAACACACTTAGAATTTTAGAGGCTGTGGCGTTTCAGCATCACGTGTCAGAAATGGCGGATGCGCCTCGCACAGCACCCAGCCGCGGTGGCTCAGCCGTCCTTCAGACCTCACGGTGCAGCCAAGCATCTCGGGGGCAGCGAGACAGAGCAGACCACACACTCCCCCGTGTCCCTGAGAAACGCGGCCAGCTCCACACAGCGAATTCTGTGAGAGAGGAGGAAAGCAAGCAGCCCGCTCTCAGCACAGTCCAACACGCCGTCGCCGCCATCAACAACACGGACAAAGACCACAATAACACGGGAAGGAGCGCGCGTTAAGGCAGAGCAAAGCGCAAAACTACAGGGACGGCACTGGCACGCGCAGGAGTGTGCTCATGTACTTCATCCAGCTGTGAAAACCTGGAAGAACATACAGGCAACGGAGCATTACTCAGCATCAAAAAGGAAGGCGATTCTGCGCGACGCCGCAGCATGCAGGAGGCCTGAGGACACAGCGCTGAGCGGGACGAGCCCGTCAGGAAGGCTGCGTCTACAGCTCCTGGAGGGCTCTGCTTCCGTGAGGTCCCGAGAGGGGTCGGGGCACAGAGACACCCAGCACAGACAGCGCTGCCCGCGCAGCGACGGTGTACACCCCCGCCCTGTCCCTGCCCAGCCTCCAGCCCGTCCCTGCCACGGGCGACAGAGGGCAGGAGGCGACTTCAGCTGGGGTCAGGAGCTCAGATTCCCCTCCAGGAGTTTTACAAACTGGCCAGGTAAGGATACAGCCAACAACCGAGGGTGGACCTGCTTGGGGCCGTGCCCCTGGGGGTGCTGACGACACACGGGTGAAGTGCTGCCTCCCCGGTTTGCAGACATGGAAACAGGCAGCGGGAGATGGGGCGTCTGTCCCAGGTCACATTCCTAGGAAGCCAAACTCCAGGAGCCTTCCTGGGTCCTCGGGAAGACATGACCGTCTCTGGAACAAACGTGCATGCACAGAGCCCCAGCTGCACCAGCAACAGAATGCGGAGCAGACATCAGGCCTGTGGGCAGGCAGCAGGCTGGCACCGCCCAGCGGCCAAGCCCGTGGGCTCTGGGACCACAGTGTGACATCCCATGTCCACGCCACCACTATCAGAGGTCGGCCCTCCGCAGGGACCTCACTGAAGTCACTCAGAAGGATGGGGCCTGGGCTTTATCAGGACGAGATGAGAAAATAGAGGTCAGCCCAGAGGAGTTACGGCAGTCCTGACCGACAGCGGGGGCACGGGCTAGAGCGTCTCCCCTGTTTTCTTACAGCAGCCTCACGGGGAGAGGCTTGTGACCCAGCTGAAGCTCAGAAAGGTTAAGCAGTAGCCTGAGGTCCCTCAGCGAGTCATAAAGCAGAGAACCCAGAACTCAAGCCTGGGTTGGCGGGATTCCAAAGATGGTGGGGATGACAGACCACACACAGGGTAAGTGGAAAGAGAGGCCTTTTGCTGCTCCTTCCATCAGCCACTCATCCAAGACACAGCCCCGGAGGCTGGCTGGGGCAGCAGGAGCCGGCAGCAGGCGGACAGGAGGATGTGGGGGGGGGTTGCCACCAGGCAGGACTGCCTCAGGACTGCACCCCGGGACCCACGCGCACAGAGGCAGAGGACACCCTGATTCCACACCCCGGGACCCACGCGCACAGAGGCAGAGGACACCCCGATTCCACACCCCGGGACCCAGGAGCTCAGAGGCAGAGGACACCCCAATTCTATACCCCGGGACCCACAAGCTCAGAGGCAGAGGACACCCCGATTCCACACCCCGGGACCCATGAGCTCAGAGGCAGCAGACACCCCAATTCCACACCCCGGGACCCATGCGCACAGAGGCAGAGGACACCCCAATTCCACACCCCGGGACCCATGCGCACAGAGGCAGAAGACACCCTGATTCCACACCCCGGGACCCAGGAGCTCAGAGGCAGAGGACACCCCAATTCTATACCCCGGGACCCAGGAGCTCAGAGGCAGAGGACACCCCGATTCCACACCCTGGGACCCACGAGCTCAGAGGCAGCAGACACCCCAATTCCACACCCCGGGACCCACATGCACAGAGGCAGAGGACACCCCGATTCCATGCAGCACAGTGAGCAGCGTCACCCCAGGGCAGTTCCCAGACACAAGGCCGGAGGACATCCTGCCCTTGCATCTTCCAGTCCCCGTGTGCTTCCCACCACGGGTGTGAGGTGCCTAAAGGAAAACAGAGCACTTTTCATAAAACCTCTGGATCAGTCACTTTCCCACTACATAGTGTTGGGCACCCTCTGAGTCATCTTTCCTTCATTTATTAAAAAGCAACAGCAAACGCAAACTTTCCTCCCAGAAATCTTGCAGGGATCAGCGGGGACCGCATAGCAGAGCAGGGACTCAGCCACAGCTTTGGGACCGTCAGCTGCCCTCTGCAAACTCAACCTGGGGACTGTCTTCACCAGAAAGATGAACAAACCACAAAGGACTTGACCACGCTAGCCCTGCAGTACTCACGGTCACGTCTCACCCCTCGGACCTTCCTGAGGGTAGGGAGCCCCCCACCACGAGCCGGGTCAGGCCATGCAGGGCCAGCACACTCCTCCAAGACAGACCTGTCAGAGGTCTGTCCCACCCTTATCGCAATCCCACTAGCTGCCGCCAAGCCCCACTTCCATTTACACCACAGCTTTTGTTTGCTCTGTGCGTGTTTTCCCCCTTAAATCTGAAATCAGGCGGGAGGTTTGCAGGAGGACCCCTTGGGAACCAAGGACCACGGCTGAAAGCACAGCAGAGCGCTCAGAAAGCGCACGGTCTGCAGGCGCGTGTGATCGGCCGGGCGGGATGTGACTGGAATGAGCCCTGGTGGAGGGCGGCAGACACGCAGGCGGGCTCAGAGCGCTCCGCAGGGCAAGGGCGCGGGACTGCACCAACGCGCCGTATCCTTCATCTGCAGGACAAAGGGCCCGGTGCCAGGGACAGGCCGCCACCCACGTGTGTCCGGAATGTGGCTTGCATCTCCCGCGCCAAGGACATGGTGGGCTGGCCGTGAGTTCCAGGGCCGTGTCCTCAAGTGCCCCCACGTGGCCAGGGCTGCACACTCTGAGGGGAGCTCAGGCCCTGGAAAGGGAAGAATGACCTTCGATCGGGTCCCGATGAGGCAGACGGTCAGGCTGGGGCTTCCAGAAGGAGAGGGGCTACACGGAAAACACAGAACTGAAGGCCGTTGCCACCCTGGGAGCCCGTCTTCTCTTCGTTTTGCTTTAAAGTCAGAGATGACTTTGAAAGACTGAAGCGTCCTGCTGTACCAGGCCTCCTGCCTCCGAGAATCAGGCCGCGATGCGGAGCGGTGACCCGCCAGCTCCCCGGGGCGCAGAGGCTGCGCCCGCAGCTCCGGCCCCGTCACAGGCCCCCCCTCCCCAGCCCTCCCCGCTGCCTGGTTCAGCAGCATCTCCTGCTTGTGGGGCCGGGGGCGGGGTTGCCAGGCCATCCGCCGTGTCAGCTCCCCGGGCACACACGCCTCCTCACCCCTCTGCAAGGCCTCGCTTTCCCGCTTTAAGACGGGGGACTAGGAGGGACGCCTGACCCCGCACTGCACAGCTTCGCGTCCAGGGCTCAGCGTCCATGAGAAACGCACGTCGTGCCGGCCGGGAGGGGGCTGTGAGGGGCTGCCTTGGGCAGGGGACGGGGTTGATCCAGGAAGCAGCCGGGCCATTAGGCTCAAGAAACCACAGCGGCTGAGGGTGCCGGGCCAGGCCAGAGGATGCAGAGGTGGAATCACACTCGGCCTTACGGGACAAAGCAAGTTCACGTGCTCGGGTCACCTCAGTCTTTTTTATAACAAAGAAAATGAAGTTTTCTCCCGACCTGTATGAACAGAACCAGAACAACCACCACCACCCCCCCCAGGCTTCCTCTATGCTACGTATCATGCAGATAAGAGCAATTTTTTCCGCATTTAATGCAATTATTTCATCATGTGCGTTTTACTGGTTAAAATCTGCAATTTGAAATCGTCACTCAGATGGGAACCTCAAACAACAGGTTTTATCTGCCTCCTGAAAAGTATGGGTCATGCTGAAGGAATTTTTTGCCCTGATGAGACAATAACCTCTCGCCTTGCTGACTCAGATGCACTTGCATATTAATTTGCTTCAGATACCCCCAGTCCCTGCTGAACTCGCTAAACTGCAGGCCAAATTCAATAATCCAGCAACCTCCCACTCAATGCCTCACCAAGATAACTCTGCATGTTTAATTTAGAAGTACTGATCGCTTTTCAGTGAAGTGCTAACGCAGCCAGCCCCACTGCCGCGGCCCAGGGCTCTGACAGGCACCCGGCAGACCCTGGTCTGAAGCCGGGATGATGAGGTGCACAGACCACGTCTCTTCCGAGCGGCGTCTGTTCATCCAAATCACCGAACTGAGAAACACGCCCCGCTAGGTTAACTTCCCTGACGTACAGGCAAGGAGATCAAGCTTCATATACGCAGATATTATCTGGGCCGATTGTATCTGATTAGCAAGAAACACTCAGTCCTCCGGCCACTGTGAATGCCCAGCTACTCAGCTGAACTGACCTAAGGCGTTTTTTCCTTTCTCTTCGGCAACCGTGTTCCATGTTTGACCCCTCAAATTTATTTTAAGTAGTTTTGCAAACAGCTTCCTCTGCCCCTCCTCCCCCGTGCCGCCGGCATCTCACGTTTCTCATGCACAGAACATGTTTTGTTCACCCTGGGAAGCGGCACTTGGGGAAACGGAGAGACCGCCTCGGTCAAGTCAGAATCAGAAATAGGCCCCATTCATCCCAGAGGCTCAAACGGGACCGAGGGCTTCCTTTCCTTTCCCTGGAACAAGTCGGTATGAACACTGGCGCCCCCCAGAACTGGGATGCACGGCTGCCTTTCCAGGCTGTGAAAGCAAGTCTCCCTCCGGCCGCGAGGTGCAGACGCCCGCAAACACAGGCACACTCCCCATGCGGCTTCACATGCACTGGGCCCAAGGCACAGCCGCATCCTCTCTGCGGAGACCCATGCTGGTCCCGCAGGAGTCTTCACAGTAAAATAACAATGCCAGTAACAACAGCAGGGGCTGGGAGATTCAGCGTAAGAAGGCAGAGCTATCAGTGAGAAGCAGTTTCTGGGTCTGGTAAAGAAAGGAGGTCTGGGAGCCGCACGGGAGAGGAGCGGGCGGCCAGGCTGACCCGGCTCGGGGCCTGGGCTTCTTCGATCAAGGATGCTCCTCGGGAGGTTCTGGAAAGCTGCACGGTGAGTGAGCTTCACGGGAAGGCAAGGTGTGTCTCTGAACCTGAAGCCTGTGTGCCACCTCTACCAACATGCCGGCCCCCGAATGCACCGACCTCCAGACAGTCACACTTAAGAGACACCACCGTTAAGCTAGCTGAGTCTGCATACAGCCGCGGTACCACGGTTACGGCTCAGAGAACGCTGGCCCCATGGCGGGTCTGGGTGCTGCTGACTTCCTGTGAAGAGTCGTCTTCAGAAGCTGAATTTTTCATGCTTCTCAGCCCCCAGAATATAAGTGACTTATGGAGACTGCTTCCAGTTTCACTTCATATGCTGAAAATATCATGGGGAAAAACTGTTTAAAAGTTTCACTTGTGGGAAAAGAAGACAGTTTTGATACTTCTCGTCTGCCCAAGAGACTCTCCTTCAGAACAACCCCAGAGTCCAGTCCTCTGTAACACAGCCCTCAAGGCCCAAGTCGTGCCGGGCCCCTGGGGACCCCGGCTCAGCACTGTGGGCTGGGCGCACCCTGCCTGGCCCAGGGTGTCCAGGCACACATCGACCCCTCCCGAGCCTGAAGTCTGCTCTCAAGGGCCACGCGTCTGTGGACAACATCTCTGGAGACCCGGACGCTGACCACTTATGCCAAGAACGTCTGTGCACGGCTCATGGGTGTGACACCCACGAACAAGCCCTGGAGGGGCCACGTGCCCTCTCTCTTCTGGACGCTTCACCCACCTCTTTGCAGGTCAACCTTCCTGTTTATAAACACAAACTGGAGCCTGCTTCTCGAAGACGCAAACCTCTCCACTGTAGTAACCCCTGGGCCTCAGGCAATTGCCCCACAGCTCAGTGAACGCGCAGGTCTCCGAGCTCGCTGCAGCGCGACTGGCTGCCCATGGGTCTCCCCACCGCCTCTAAACGGACGTGTTGTCTGCTCGGCCAGACAGACAAAGCTTCCAGAAATTTCACTCATGCAGATCTGGGGGAAATGGAAAATCAGCAAGGCCATTTAAAAACCCTCATAAAGGGTTAATGTTTGTTAGCTTGAAAACGTCAAAATACATCAATATTATGTATTATATTTGACATAGTGGGA